TTTCTAACTTCAGTCTTTAGTCTTCTAATTATAGTTGACAAAACTACAATATCTCCTTAAGGACGCTCTGCTGCAGTTCACCCATATGGAAAAGAAATAGAAAAAACGTATAAAAGACTTGCATAAGATGTGCCCTACTTCATATAGTGAATCATATAAGGCTTATATGATTTACTCATGAAAGTGGCCACTTTTTCATTACTTTCATATATTGTTTTAGTAAGTATCCAAAACATACAAGTTTCATTTATATAATTTTTCAAGGGATCTTACATCTGTTTTCACTCTCGTATGCTTTTCATACAAGTTTCACACAAGACAGATACAAACTTTATAAGATTTATACATATCTTTTCCATATGGGCAGCTTCATTCCTGGTTCAAAGAAATAGCCTCTTCCAGAAGCTGATGGTGAGAGTTTAGTTGTCTTTGATTTTTTTTGTTAAAGTCTGGACTAGAGTGACCTGGTGTGGGACTGTACCACATATTGATACAATGTTCCACATTTTACTGGCTCTAGTTTTCAAAAATCAACCCTGAAAAACAGGTACTTTTTCTAAAGTCTGCCTTGTATCTAATGGTTGTGAAGAAAGCCAGTCATCAAGGGTTTCCTGCAGGTTAAGATTTCACTGTATTTGCTGCCTACGCTATACCCACAGTGGAAATTGCAAGCTACCCGAAAGTCACAATACACAAATGAAAAAGAAAATACCCCAAATAAAAGGAACGCACATACAGTGAAAACTGAAACTTGTTGAAAGTGGTTGAAACTGGTGGAGGTCGATTCTCCGAGAGTTTTCGTTCTTTCTTTTTTTAAAATGTTTTTGTCAGCATCTCACAAGAAACCAGCAGCTCAGAAAGAGACGTGACCGTTGCTGGATGCACCCCCACTGAAACCCAACTGACCCAACTACGAGCCACAACAGCAAATGAAATAACAACAGTTTTAAAGGTTATTGGGACAAAAAGAAGACTAGAAAGAAAGAAATAAGACTACAGTAAAATTTTAGCTTCTGTTTATGCCTATAGTATGTCCGGATTCAAATACTTACTTTACATTCTAAATGCTTCTGAGCATTAGCAAACTTCCCCACACAAACATATTCTCTGCCGCACAGTTAGCTTGCCGGGATTTGGTCACCCTAGTCAAAATAGTGTAGCAACTGACAAACCAGTGATGTTTTTTCCTGATGCACTTCTCATTTGGAGTGTCCCTGGCTTTTTTGCTCTTGGATCTGATTTTCCTGTAATATGAAAGCAGAGCTTTGTGTTAGTCGACTCTTGCCTGCTACAGTGCAATCTTGTTGGAACCAGAAATGATTCAGTAAATTAGGTTGATAAATGCTCCATGTGGTGACCTACTTATTTCAAAGTTTCATGGCAATCTATTCACTTGTGCTTGAGACAAGTTTCAGTTTTTAATTTCTTTTTTTCCCCCTTGGTCTGCAGTCAGCTCATATTTCTGTTTGTAATAAACCTCGACTGAATATGAATAAGCTGATTGTTTGGTAAACCAAGCATCTTAGTCATTTCTACCATTACCCCTTACATAAATACAATATCGATTGCCAGCTTTTGAAAAATTAGCTTATTTTCCTTTAATACTAATGGTAAAAGCTGACATTTGCTGTCGATGCTGCAGAAGCTCTAGATTGCTAAAGAGAATAGGAAAAAAAATACTATGGTGTGAAACCACAACTTGGCTCAAAATATGGTAATGATGTCTGAGTTTGGACAGTTATTTACAGCAGTGTGGGGAAACACATCACCAGAAATCACAATATTTCTAAAAAACGGAAGGTGCAATGTTAAGCACAAGTGTTTTTGGGAGTATTTTCTTTTGACACAGGATGTTTCTCCGTACTGCTCAGGCTTGAAATAGCAAGGGGTTAGAAGTTTCTTTCCCCCGGCAAGCCCCAAGTCTCAGTTGATACATGGTATCTGTCAGCTCCTCCCTGATGAACACCTCCAGCAGCAGCCTCAGGGACGTCAGCGCATGCAGCTGCTGGCCAGGCTCTTCTGGGTATCCAAGTCTTCCTTTTTTCAGGCAGCAGATGTAGCAGCTTGCTGATGCCACCTCTCATAAGGGACTGGCACAATGTAGCAGCTCCAGCACATTATGGAATCACACTTGGTAATACGTTACACATAGGTATAAGATGATCTGACCTGCTTAGAGCTAGATATGGTATCGATGTCGTCATCTTGTCAGATGTAAAGCTGGAAAAATTAGATTTTCAATTGATGTATTTTTATATCTACAATAAATCACCTAATCACGTATCTGGGAAAGAGTGTAGCTTGTCGTAGGAAACCCACTTTGTCTCCTTACTGTGCTGTTATTTGTTTTATTTTATTCTACAACTTTATTGTTTTGTTGGATTTTGTTGAGCACGTCACCATCTTGGTATTTTGAAACTGAACATGTTATGCTGTAAGCATCTTGGTTAGAAAACAAAACAACAATAACAAAAACCCATATGTGATGAGAAGGTCAATGCTCATTGGCTCATGACGCCACAAGCATGCAGTTTCACTGGCTTCATTCTCCCAACCTGGGCACTATGAAACTACTCCAATGTTTTTATATTGCCTATAGTCATATCCTGTGTTCTTGCTTTTGTTTTTACTATAAATACATATACATAATTGACAAAATAAACATCAGACTATATTAAATAATGCTTGAGACTATATTGAGATTGTAAAGTCATCAGAAAAATGTTTACTCGAGTCATAAATGAAGGGAGAAGTAAGGTTGCGTTCTCACTCACTTCTATACAAAGAGATTTCTTTCTTCATCCAATGCCCCCTGGTGGCCATCAGAAAGACTGCAGCTTTAAAAGTACCATTTGTAATAATGCTCTGCAAATTTGAACTAAAACCTTCACCACAAATGGAGCACTGTTTTAACAGTTGATCCCTTCCACTGTTTCCTCAGGAGACTTGTAAAAAAGAAAGTTTTTCATGTGTTGCCTAGTTAAATAAAGGATTACCTGACTTTCATGTTGTGGTACTAATTGGATGTTATATTAAAGTGCAGTCTAGCTTTAGTTCAACTTTAGTTGATATCTTCAGTACAAAGTCTGTTTGTTTTAATCTCCTGCAAGCTTTAGTTAATTTTAGAAGTTTAAAAGACTTTATTCCTTAGTTGCACTTTTCAGCAAGAGGCAACATGCACCTTTTTTTTACAGTCTATAGCTCTTGCAAGCTATCATCAGTGTGTGTGTTTTTTAGATGCACTGGCCAGACAGTTTTGGTAAAAAGCCCCCACACAGTTGGAAACTCGCTAGTGAACAAAGCAGATCATGCAGCAGCTTCAGAGCCAGCTACTCCTCTCTGCAAAGGAGACCAAAGCAAAGCTTACAGGAGAGCAAACATTCACCATGCATTCATTATGGGTAAATAGGTAAATATAGGCACAGACTTGTTAACCCAGTTGTTTAATCTGTATTGGTAGTCAATGTTGCCTTTACAGTTTGCTTTTAAGTCTTAGTGATTAAAGACTAAAATTTGTGAAAGCAACTTGATTTAGTGTAACTGCAAAGAAATAAATAAATGTATCTTAGTGTCAATCTATTCTCACTCATAAGGTTTTAAATACTGTGTCAAAGCTTCAAGCGTCCCTCAGATATGCACAAAGTTTCCATTGCTGTACCATATTATGTCATCGATGAGACTCTCTCCACCAACTCGTCACATATGGACACTTGGACATTAAAAATACAGAAAAGAAAACAGAAGAAAATGCACGGGGCTCAGGTATGGGCTCCAGTTTGTGGACGCCGCCATGTCCTACAGCGTCCATTATGTACTTGAATTTGGAGTGGTAAGAAAACAATTCAGTCACCTGCAATCAACAATCTACTGACATCTAGTGGTGCAGTGTTAAAAACTGTATTTTTAATGTGTACGTTTTAACCCAGTCACGATCTTTTGTTTTTGGTGTGTAAACTTAACCAAGCCTTGGTGCTTAAACCTGACCATAAAGCAAGTGATAAAGAAAATAAATCTGGTTGTGAAAACAAAGCAACACAAAGTGCGAAACACACTGGAATAGAGAGCGATCAAAACTTACTTCAGCATCACCCGTTCGACCTGCTAATGCTGACTCGATCGCACTGTAAACGAGGGCTGTTCTTTCTCAGCTTCTCATACTGCTGCAGTTGGTGCTTCAAGGCACTAACATCAAAGGACATTAAGGTGGCAGTAGAAATCCCATCTTGTTCATCCAAATACCTGGAAAAATATGTTTGCTCCTATGATGCATTCATTATTTATTTGTAATGAGGATAAATTGGCCCTGTAACGTCAAATATTTATCATCTTTTTACATTTAGAATGCATTTTTAAATAGCTGTCCCCAAGATTTGATCAAACTACAGCTTCTTACTCGTCAGCTCAACCTATTTTTTTTTCTCCTGTAATGCTGCTGTGCGTGGAGCTGCTGCTGTTATGTTTCTATGGGCTATCATCAGTAATAATCTCGACTCTGTCATGAAGCGTCAGCTGCAGCGCTCATGAGTCAGCCTTTAATCTTTGCATCTGTATCAGTAAAAGCTCCCAACCCAACAGGATCAATGGGAACCTTTAAGGAGGAGAAAGAAATGCACAAATGAGCTCCTTTTAGATAAAATGTGACAGCTCATTCCACTAATTGTTGCGCAGGAGTAGCTTTGGCTCTTTTAAACCCTCACACTATAACTCTGGACAAACAAATGTCTGCCAGAAAGCAGTCCACACCCCAGCATGCCCTCAAGTCCCTCCCAGTAGTTCTCTGCAGGCATTTGAACTCTGTGTGACAGAAACACGGATAAATCACAACACCTATTTCTAAAACACAGCACTTTAGGACCTTTGAATAGAGCCATATTTCTTGAAAGGCAATAGGTTAGCAGTAGCAAAGTAAATGGCGCCATCTTGCGGCCAGTTTGCACAAAGTGGGCGGCGCTAATGACGAAGGCGAACTCGCGCTGCTTCTGTGTCGTGTACAGGAAGAAAGTTGAAGATGGTCAGCGCGGAGCTGGCGGCTCGTCTGAACGACAGAGAGTACACAAACTGGCTGAAAGCGGGACGCTGTCTGCTCATACTGAAGGATGGCCTCCTCCCGTTTACCGACCGACACATGAGGGCTTTCCACGGAGATCTGCTTAATCAAAGCGCTGTGCTCCGGAGCCCGTGCAGGGATTCATGTAGACCGAGAGGGAATAAGGTGTGTTTCGTCATTTAATGCGCTGGTGCCACTTAAATGCCCTTACCTGTGGCAGGTGATCAACCACAACCACTATGAGCTTATTGCCACCTTTATTATAGGCCGTGTGCTCTCAGTAGATCTTCAGCTTATTTTTATTATTATTGTTGTTGTTGTTGTCGCACTAACTCACATAGGTTTTAAGCAGCAAGTATGTTTATGTTTGTGTAGCTGTTGGGATGCAAGGTGTGTTCAGAGTGGCAGAAGGCGATCCTGAGACACCACAGGCAGCCTGATGTTACAGTCAACTGGGACAACTGTTTCCCTCCATACTGGAGGACAGACCACTGGGAGGTGGCAAAGGTAGGAAGCACATAACAAAGCCAGCGTTATGAGACGAAGCTGTAATATGAGCTGCTGCCCCAACTTAGAAACAGCAGCAGAATCTGTGAGGTGCATGTTTCTGGTATCTAACAGTAAAAGTTAAAAGTAAACAAAAAACTAAAACTATGTGTGAAAAACGTAACTTAAAAAAACTAAGTAAAATAAAATTGAGTCTTGGTGGAACTTTGACTTGCTAACTAAGATAAAAATAAAAAATATAGAGGAAACTTTATTTTTGGTTAGTTTGGCTTAAAAAAAATCTCATCACAACTTCCCTGATGAGGCTTTGCTGGATGTGTTTGTGAGATTCCTGATGTTAACAAGACTGAGTCGGCTTATTAAATAATTAAAAGGACTAGAAACTGAAACTAATGACAACTAAAACTCTAAGCATTTTCAAACAATAAAAAGTGAAACGGAAAGTAACTGAAATGAAAGTGACTTCAAAACAAAACTTTGAAATGAAATAAAACCGAAAACTAATTAGAAAATACAAAGCTATAATAACTGTGTCAGCGCAGGGCAAAAACATACAGACTCATAAAGTGTTTAACAATGACACAGTTCTAATGTTGCTGAAGTGCAGGCTTTCAGCTTTAATTTAAGAAGTTTAATAAATGTATTGTGTGCCCCTTTTCACCCCTTTGAATGTACAGGAAATCAACTTTATTGATTTGCTTTTGTAGTAAAATGCACTTTTGCTCCAGATTAGACAAAGGATTTGAAGTTGTTTGATAAATGGTTTTATTTTCTGACACATAGCCAAAGTTTGCCGCTGTACTGCAGACAGTTCACCATAGTAATTATACATGTAGCCGGTGATCGCTGAAGGCATCGGGAACTCTTTCCGAGCGTCACATAGGCTCTTCTGTGTGTGATGAACATGTCCTGCCTGATGTTTTCTTGTTAGTTTATGACCACATTAGGAGGTAAATGTTCTGACCTGGATTTTTGCATTGGGCAGCTGTTCATAGGAACTTGAAATTTACAGTCAAAAAGGCATTTTTGTAACTGAACTTGCAGTCGTCAGAGATTACACATCACTGTCAAATAGGGCTGTGCGATATGACCAAAATCTTATATCCCGATATTAAGACATCTATCGTCCCGATAACGATATAAATCACAAAAATGTAACATTTTCTGTAAATTCTGTGAATCTCGGGCAGCTCGACTTGCGGGAAGTGTTTCCAGCTGCGCGTCATGTAGCTGGAGTCGATGCATGAAACGATACATTATTAGACATAAGTTGTAACGGCCGCCGTTTTCTTTGTGAGTATTTATTACACGGCGTGCTGCGGGGAAAAGCCTGTTCTGACGTTTGAGTCTAAGGTTTATTTTTTAGCACCTGGCGGCTCTTTTTT